TCTCTATCTCTATCTCTATCTCTATCTCTATCATCTCTATCTCTATCTCTATCTCTATCTCATCTCTATCTCTATCATCATCTCTATCTCTCCCTTCCCTCCCTCCCTTTCACTCTCTCTAAAAATCAGTGGAAAAAATCCTCCAGTGAGGATTAATAACCACAACAAAAAATTAAATAAAACAAAAAATTCAGCTCTTCAGTTGCACTAGCCACAGTCCGAGTGTTCAATATCTACATGTGACTAGTGGTTGTACAGACAGCAAAAATTTAGCCTTTTTTCATCACTGAAGGTAGCTCTATTGGGTAGTCCTGCTCCAAAGCACAGAACAAGTGAAAGTTGTTGCATTAAAAATATCTTTGGAATCTCAATTTAATTTGGCACATTTTATGTCAAATTGATAACCTTTTAATTCTTTCGTATGGAGTTATTAAAAATACTGCCAGAAATATGTAATTTACATATTGAATATAATGGCTGTATTGCTAGATTTTAAATGTTTTGTTAGTAACAAATTTGGGGGACTCAAGGCAGTGATTAGGGAATTTCAGTAATGCATTCTAAAAATTAGCATACATATGTATATTTTAAAAAGAAATCTGCCCATCAGATAATGTTTGAAAAGTGAAATACCAACGGAGACACTTCTTTTTCTAATACTGACATTTTATTTTCTGAATTTGCTTTAAAAGATAATAAGGATGTTCCCTAACTACCTGACTAGCACCCACAATGCATGTATTAAATGCTACTGAGAATATCAGTTTGAAGTGCAGAGAGGACCACTCTTCAAGTGAGAGCTCTCTTTTTGGCCTTAGATATATTTGTCTTATCTTGGATTTGTTTTGCTTACTTAAAAATATAATTTTAAAAAGGAAATTAAAAAAGGATGGTTAAAAAATTATTCAGGATTAAGAATTAAAGACAATATTTTTTTTACTAACTTTGGCAATGAATTATGATGTAGTTCCTAGTAAATAACACACTTTCCCACTATTTTAAGTATTAAAATTAATAGTATAGTATCTTCTCAGAAGAATCATTAGGGTTACATTTTAATTTAACCCACGGTGGAATATCTTCACAAGTTTTTATTACGTTTTGGATTATTTTTCTCAATTTGGCTTCTCCTTGCCATTCAGTACTCTAAGCTCCTTTTTGTCATACAATTCTCATGTGTCTTCCTCTCTGTTTCCTTCTATCTTTTCTCCTTTCCCTTATTTCATTTATTGAACTGGTATCATATTCTTGGTTTCCAGATAAGCACTAAGGAAACTGATGGTTTATCCCCAAGAAGCTCAGTTTTAGTGGCACCTGTTAAAAATATCCCTTCCAAAGCCTAGGAGTGGGAGCTTGAGAGGAAGGGTGGAGAATGATATTTGCACAGGAGGTAGTGAATCAGAGTTTCACTGAAGGCCTAATGCTTAAGCTGAGGTTGAGAGCTCGGGCAAAGACATTTATGAGTACACTGTAGAGAGCTCATGCAATCTACACAGGGCATCTGATGATCATTTTCTCTGGGAATTAGTTACTTGTGAATGTTCAGGATCCCTCTACAGAGAAATAAGAAAGAATACTCCTCTCTACTAAATTCTTTTGAGAGTCTCTGGAGAAATATGCCTTATACATTTCTGGAAAATTGAACATGCATATAAAATTTCTGATGAAAAAATATATGCAAGTAAAAAGTGAATAATCTAGTGATTTTAGCACTACAAATTCTGATTACTTGGTCTTGTTTCACCAAACTATCTGTACACAAAATTTCTTAAGATATTAAAAGGATAAGGTAGAATTATCTAAAAATATTTCACATTAATCCAACTTCAGAAGTCATAGTTTTGGCTAAAAATGTACAAAAAAAGACTTGTGTTCAAAATAACAATTCTAAAACTACTTATAATAACATTATAATGAGATAGATACATAATTATATTTGGAATGTAATTTTATGTTCTTTTAAAAGAATCCACATGTTCCTTTGAAGAAAAGCATTTTTCTCTGAGGAATGCTAATTATTGAATGTTTTCTCATCTGTTTTCAAGACAGATTTTTTTTTTTTTGGTACTTAAAAATAAATCACCCTTTGTTCAAGAAAGTAAAGTATTAGGGTGGTGAATTAATTTTTTTCTCTTGCTTGACATGTGAATGCACAGATATGTAATTATAACCTACAGTAATTTTCAGATGAAAGCATCTTTTAAAAAACTGTAAAAATTTCTATTTTCTCTAAGTGAATGATGTCCAGCCAGTGAGGAAGCCTCATTTTAAAGGTGTGAAAAAAAGAAAATGGGTTTATGATGAACCAAAGAACTTTCCTGGCCAAGGAGTGCGGAGAGGTAGAGTGTCTATATATTTGATGTTTCTAAATTGTAATTTGAAAAGAGATTAAATATAAAAAAAATATTTTATACCTGAAAAACAAATCACCATTGTGAAATATGCAACTCCAATAAACTTAGTTCCCTTGGCTCCCATTGCCTTCCATTGTGCTCTCAAACATTTAAATGCAGTATGTTGCAGCCCGGCCGGGCATGGCTCAGCGGTTGAGCATCGACCTAGGATCCAGGCGATCGGGGTTCGATTCCCGGTCAGGACACTTGCCCGGGTTGCGGGTCCGATACCCAGTCTGGGGCCTGCAGGAAGCAGCTGATCCATGACTCTCTCTCATCATTGATGTTTCTATCTCTCTCTCTCTCTCCCTCTCCTTTCTTCTCTCTGAAATCAATAAAGATATATTTTAAAAAATAAAAATAAAATGCAGTATGTTATCTATGGGTATGAAACCAGCTTGTTTAACTCCTCACTCCTTTCCCCTTTTCTTTTACAGCAGTACAGACCCCAAATCCAAAGAATAAAACAAGTTACCACCGCAATAATAGAGACAGGAACGCTGAGAATGCCTCCTATATCCATGTCCAGAGGGATGCCGTCAGGGCCGTCTCACTCAATGTACCTCCCTGCAGCAGGCCCACGAATGGCTTCTACAATAAAGTCAACGTTAACAAGGAACCCAGCCTCAGTCTCTGTCCAGGTGAGGCTGTTTATATGGTTCACTCATACCTGTGGTTTGCAATCCATGGACTTTCCTGACGGTCCAATGAGTCTTCATGGCTCCTGACTCCCTCCTTTTTCCAGGCCATCACCACCATCTTAAAAAAACCAGGGAGAGGATTTCTCCTACGTGCAGAAGTGCACATGATTTCAAGAATATGGGAAAAGTATGTTGGTGCAGATGACTTGACATTGACCCTTCTTAGCATCTTGTCTCAGGGCACTGCACTTTGTTCCCCCTGGATAGCTTTATTTCATTCTTGAGGATCATTTTCAAACGGTTGACATTTTCTCGCTCCACTAACTGCATTGTTCAATTATCACTCTCAGGCCAGAGCCTTGGCTTTTCTTTAGACCTTCATGATTACTTTCTGAAAGGGTTAGTTTGAGGGTTAACTGCAATATTTTTGACAAGCACTCATCTCTCCCCACTGTGCACAGATTGCTTCTAAATCATTTCATCACGTAATGGGCAAAATCACAGTACATGTCGGGAAGTACAAGGCCACAAGGGAGGAGGGAACCAATCTCTTTTTCTTCATGTCTCAGATGAATTTTGCTTTTTCAAAGTTGGGTTTAACTTTTCTCAACCTAAAAAAAAAGACCACTCAGTTCCTTATAATTGCATGTTTATATTTTCCTATGTTCACATCCTAGTTAGTGGAGTTTTGAATGTTGTGTACTTTGTGAAACATAAGTAAAAACTCTATGTCTCTCTTAGGATTTTTTTTTTTTTACAATTTAAACTGACGTTAGCTTTATTTAAATTTTCTTCCATTTGCTTTAGAATAGAATGATGTATGGATTTATATATATAAATAAGGCTATTCTTAGGTGAAACAGGCTTTTGATTTTATTTCTTACTATTATTACATTATTATTAATTTTATTATATTTTACTGTGAGTAGATGGTTGTGAAGAATACGATGACTACCAGAATAGCTTGGTGCCATTGTCTTCATTTGTATTAAGGTGGCCACCGTTATACTCACTATTACCTTTACTTCATTAGTGCTAACATCAATGAGGGAAAAGGCAAATAGATTTTCAGTATTATTTTAGACCAGGCTTTGAGAATCACAGTTGCACAGTCATACTTGAAAACATAAATGCAACACTGTCAGATGATAGTTCAAATATAGAGCTCTCAGAGGACAGTAGGTATTTAAGGACCAAGTCAGTATATAAATGCTTTGGTTTCCTGAAACAATGAGTTCACTACGGTAGAGCAATCTGCCTTCAAGGGAGCCACTTCACGGAGGGAAAAGGGAGTAGGGCTGTATCTCCTAGGCTGGC